ATTTTATTAGAAAATAAGACTATTACATGTTACGACATTTAGTATATCAAGTAAATGTGTCTTGATTCAACAAACACTCAGATTTGATCCAGAACAATGTTAAAAAGTATTGCACATGTGCAGGTTGCAGAAACACATCATGTCATAATGTTTGTTAATAACACGAATAAAAAACTTGACACACAAACAGAAAACAGAGCTGCAGTCTAAGAAGTGTCATGTTTGTCATATTTACAAAACTAGTAAATCACTGCTGTGAGTTCGTGTCATATACATGTGCATAAGATCTCTTGAAAGGTAAAACTCGGCACACAAACACACTTTCTTTGTCTCTGTTTCTGTGCGTGTTTCCTCGGGCCTCTGGAGACATAATCAATCAACACTCTGCATCTCAAGTCATTTTCAGAGCAAATGCACATGCAAACGACTTCGCTTAGAAAGATAGAGACAATGAAACACTACAAGAATCAGGACAGCAGAGATACTTAATCTGCATTATTACATCAATGCTTAATAAGTTTTGCACTTGATAACAGTGCAGCTAAACAGGAACGGCATTGAACTGTGTTCTTGTTGCATGCACAGTTTTGAACCATAATCATGTTTAGCAATTAAAACAAATGCAGTTTACGTAATAAGAATATATTTTTCTCTGTTTGCTCTGCTGATTATATAGGACAATCAAATATCCACTCCAATCACTACATGTAATGAACCAAAGCAGTCGAGCGTGAGATTTTCAGCTCATTCCTGGAAAGCATGAACTCAGGATCAGTTTTGATTTGGATAAACTTAAGCCATATGGTTTAGTGAAGACATCTTCTGTTGATGGGTTTAGGAAATGAAGCATCACTGTGAGATTGAGCTCATTCACAGCTCATAACAGAGGCGCAGATAACAACAGACACACAATACACTCATCATCAGCCTCTTCTGTATGATAATGGAGCACAAATCAGCCCTTTGTCTCACAAACTGTTGTGAACTCAGTGGGACTCAATGTGTGTTTCATTTGTAATGGTTAATGTAGTTGATAATCCAGCAATTACTGGCTTAATTCACGTTTTAAGAGGCAAAGCTATAAAAGTGTTAGTGTCATGTAAGCCAGGGCTGAATTTAATAGTTATTAACCCCTCAGAATGCATAATGATAGAGACAGAAATTCTAAAAAAAAAAAAGCACAGTTTTTAGTAAGGGAACGAAGCTTTGCAAACGCTTTAAGACCCTCAAAATATGACTAATTTATTATTATTATGTTTTTTTCTTCAGATTTTTAAAAATGATTTTTTTAAGAGATATAACCATTTAAAATGTTCGGGTCATTTTGACCTGGGTATGTATGGAGCACCAATAGTGTCAAAAATACTTTTTGTTAAATTATCTGTGAAGTTATATTAGTGTCAAAAACTTTTGTGAAATATATTTAGGCTTTTTCCCCAGATCTCACACACGTTTGGAGCTGAATTTTGTTGATAAACATTAATTTGTCGCCTATTGCAGCATAAAAAAACTGATCTTTTTTTTCACCTGAAAGTAAAAAGTTTATGCAAATAAAATGAATTTGCTTATTTTGTTTTTGTTTTTTCAGAGTAATAACAGAGTAGCCTAATATTTCATCAAAAAGGGGTAAATTCAGTAATACAGTGGTGACATTGGAAACATTGACATTTTTTCACACTTCACATTTAATGAGAGGTTGCTAAATACAATATAGTTTTAGTTGAAAAAAGTTATGTTATGCCTGTTTTATAAAATAACGATTCTTCGGGAATGCGAAAATAGTGTACAGTATTTTGAGCGCATCATGCATCATGTTTTGGAATAAATCGTGAGATTTTTGCCGAGATCTCGCGAGAGGTCACGGATGTAAGTTAATATTAATATAATAACTAGATACCATTGCATATAATTTGGTAGAAAAACAAAGTGTTGCATGTTTTATTGGTGCAAAGATGAGAGTGGTGATATTTATTTTGTACAACATTTGCAACTGCTTTTCATCACTTAATTAGAAGCACCACAAATTAAACTGTGCCATGTTGTAGTAGAGACTACTGAACAGACGTTTAGAAGTTGGTTTTAAAATGCAAAGTATTTAAAATAAAAATAAAGCTATGTAAACAAGTGTGTCCCATCAGGTGATGAAAAGTTCCACACACTTGTGGTCTTCATCCTCACTTGAACACTTGGGCCAAATACAGGAAATACGTCATAAGTGGTCAAGCGCAAAGACCGCACGTGTGGTCTCTCTGCACTACAGTACCCAGAATCCCTCGCGCTGCGGCCTTCGGCAATCTTCGGCTGTCTCCGCCCACAGGAGCGCTCGCCGCGGAATGCTGCTCTGATTCCAGCGCGGTGGAAAGCAAGTTCCTCAGAGATGGAGCGAGTGCTGAGGCGCTGATATCTGCACTTTTATCCATGATATTCAACGCGAAAAGGACGTTCAGTTGACGCGGACCTGCCAAGAACTTCCCCATCTTCCATATTCGTGCGGAATTAAAACTTTTACGGCTCGATTTCGTCAACTTTTTATTTGTTTTTTTCCCCTCCGGGTGAAAATGCCGCAGCCCTCTCGCGCCGTGAGCTTCGTGCTGCTCGTGTTTCACGTTACGGGATTAACAGCGATTAACGGAGGCTCGGATCGATCGGAACCGGAGCCGTGTCCGTCTGGGTGCTCGTGTGCGGGATATTTAGCGGACTGTAGTGGATTAAAACACGGCAGGATCGCGGAGAGGCTCCCCGCGCGGATCACGCGTCTGTGAGTGTTTTTTATTTATTTTATTTTTTTACCTCAGATCCTTTGTGTGTCTTTTCACGATCAAAACATGAGCAAAACATTCGCTTTCATAGATTCAGATGTCGCTAAATACGAGGAAAAAACATACAGCGTAGAAAATCACAACTGTGGGTACAGTTTATAAACGATTAAAGCGTTTAAAACAACAAAAACATACACGACTGAATGTATAAATCTAAACTTTCTCCGTGTATACAGTGACAGTGGTTGTAAAACACACAATGTTGTGTTAGTGTGATTGATTTTGCTGAGCGTGTGTGTGTGTGTGAGTGTGTGTGAGTGAGTGTGTGGGTGTGAGTGTGTGTGTGTGAGTGTGTGAGTGTGTG